GTTTTAGATTCATGATGTACATGGTTGTTTTCATCATTTCCAAGTTTAAGAGAATCAAACTTGGTAAGCTTTACCTGGGTCTGAACATTTCTTTCATTTTCAGATTTGTTTGATTCATCAGTTTCTGTTTTAGACACACCATTTCAGATTCATTAAAGACTATGTTTCTGCTGTTAATAATCTTGATGCCATGGACCCCTAAAACCCATAACCTATACTATTTCACACCCTCGGGATAACCCAACATCATACACTTGACAGCTTTAGGCTCAAGTTTCCCTTCTGACTGATGTGCATATGCAGCACATCCAAAGACCCTTATGTGATTCAAATTTGGAGGCTCTCCAGTCCACAGTTCCGTGGAGTTTTAAAGTTTATACTGCTGGATGGTGACCTATTAATCAGATAAGCTGTAGTATTTGTAGCTTCAGCCCAAAAACTTTTGACAAGGCCAGAGCTAATTAACATGTACCTAACTTTATTCATAATGGTCATGTTCATTCTCTCAGCGACCCCATTCTGTTTAGGTGTATACTTAACAGTTCTATGCCTTGTTATTCCCTTTTGCTTACAAATGTTATCAAATTCAAAATTGCAAAATTCAAGCCCATTGTGGGTTCTTAATGTTTTCAGTTTCTTATCTAAGTGATTCTCAATAGACTTAATCCATTTTCTCAATTTCCCAAAAGTTTCAGATTTAGACTTCAAAGGATAAATCCAGACTTTCCTTGAGTAATCATCCACTAAGGACAAGAAATACTTACTTCCACCAAATGTGAAATACTTCTCAGGGCCCCATAGATCAGCATGGACATAGTCCAAAGGTCTACTGGTTCTATGAGAGCTAGCTTCAAATCTCACCTTATGGGACTTACCCACTACACAAGTCTCACAGTAGCCCATAGCTTCAATGTCATATTTTCCAAGAAAGATTTCAGCCCTTTAAACCCAATATGACCCATCCTATTGTGCCACAGTTCATTCTTATTTTTATTGACTATAAGGAGACTCGAATCAGGTGTAGTTTCAGTTCTGCCTTCAAGATAGTATAATACATTCCTTTTGAGCCCTTTCATGACTATTAGAGATCCCTTAAAAATTTTCAGAACATTATTTCCAGATTTAAAGGTATATCCCTCATTTTCAAGAGTCCCTAAAGAAAAAAGGCTTCTATTCAAATTTGGGACATTTCTTACATCTTTGAATTGCATGACAGTTCCATCATACATCCGGATGGCAATGTCACCAATCCCAACCACATTCTGAGAATTATTGTCTCCCATGTAAACCTTCCTAGGTTTAGTCTCTCTATAGTTATAAAACCAAGACTTTTCAGGGAACATGTGAAAAATACTCCCCGTGTCCAGAATCCAGTTTTCTATCAGATCCTTCCTCAAACACATTTAGGACATGTAAACTATCTAATTCAGAAACAATGGCAACATTATNAAATTCTGAATTTTTCAAAAGTTTCAGACTTAGCATTCAAAGGATAAATCCAAACTTTTTTTTAAATAATCATCCACTAAGGACAAGAAGTACTTACTTCCACCAAATGTGGAATGCTTCTCAGGACCCCATAGATCAGCATGGACATAGTCCAATAGTCTACTGGTTCTATGAGAGCTAGCTTCAAAGCTCATATTATGGGACTCATCCAAAACACAAGTTTCACAGAAGTCCATAGCTTCTATGTCATCTTTTCCAAGTAATTTCTGATTACTTAAAGATTCCAGCCCTTTAAACCCAATATGACCCATCCTATTATGCCACAGTTCAGTCTTATTTTTATTAACTATAAGGAGACTACAATCAAGTGTAGTTTCAGTTCTACCTTCAAGATAGTATAATCCATTCCTTTTAGGCCCTTTCATGACTATTAGAGATCTCTAAAAAAATTTCAGAACGTTATTTTCAGATTTAAAGGTATATCCCTCATCTTCAAGAGTCCCTGAGGAAATAAGGTTTTTCTTCAAATTGGTGACATATCTTACATCTCTGAGTTGCCTGACAGTTTCATCATACATCCGGATGGCAATGTCACCAATCCCAACCACATTCTGAGAATTATTGTATCCCATGTGTACCCTGTGTCCAGAATCCTGTTTCTATCAAATCCTTCCACAGACACATTTAGGACATGTAAACTATCCAATTCAGAATCAATGGCAGCATTATTTAGGTCAGTATTGTTCAGATCTTTTTGTTTCTTTTTCCAATCAAAACAATCTTTTTTAAAATGTCCTAACTTTCCACAGTTATATCATTTCTTGTTACTTTTGTCTTTAAACTTAGATCTCATCTTAGATCTTCATCTCCACTTCTTGTTATGAAAATTAAATTCTTTCTTGAATGATACATGTCCAATTGATTGCTTATCTGTGAATTCCTGTGATTGAATTCTTGTGACTGATTTGAAATTTTTAAACAAACATTTGTATCATATACCTGTGAACTGCCTGAGCCTCATTTACACATGCACTGACATCTGATTGATGTTTCTTGATAAAATTGTTTCATTTCTGCTGTGTATTGCTCAATTATGTGTTTTCCCTTATATTGATCATCTAAAATTGGTTTTTTTTCAAAACCTTTTATGTTATGTCCATGAGTACAAGCCACCCTTTTATAGAATCCGTAATGGGTTCGAGGGTCAAATTATCACAACTTGATGGAAAGAGGGATTTCTCGATATAAAAATAGAAAATGAGGGCCATTTTGGTCCCAAAGAGAGTTGCTAAAGCTCTCGATGATCTATTGACTTTATCTGACGAGTTAAAAGCTAAACCTGATGAAATCGAANTGAGTTGAAAGCTAAACCTACTGAAATTGAAGAAATGAATGAAATTGCCTATAGTTTTATAATTTTGCATTTATCTGATAATGTTGTTAGACAAGTTGATAGTGTTAAAGATTCTAGAACTTTGTGGACTGCATTAGATGCCTTGTTCTTAACTAAAACTTTACCTAACAAGATTTCTAACACATGGCAGCGGGGCGGGTATGGGCTGAGGCATCCTCCCCCACCTCTGCCCCACCGAATAATTTCTCGCCTCGTACCTGCCCCTATACGTGGTTCTCTTTATCTTCCATTGTTAATTAGTGGATGCTGAGGATACTGCTACCAACTTGTCATCTTGACAAAAAAGGAAAACAATTAACTCAAATGGTACGAGCCCAATTTTATTTTTATTTTTAATGATTTTGTGACCAAAATTTAAAGAAGAACCCAATGGAAAGTGGTGATAATTCAATCAAATTTTGTTAGTAATTTCATTTAATCAAAATGATACTACGTTTTTCTTTTAGAATTTTTATTTAAGTATTGCGACTTAATTCACACCTAAAGTGCAGATGGCTCGAAACCTCAAACCATGGTAAAATATTAGCTGGCTCACAGGTTCCAATTTTTTTCTTTTTCAGAGTATCTTTTGAACTTCTCGTTAATATGTTTAAAAAACAAATTAATTATTGGTTTATTGAATGAAAATTACAAAACTTGAATTTGTTTCAATTATTCTCCGTCTAACATCTAGGCATGGCAATGGAAAGGGTATGGGCCGAGGCATCCTCCCCCACCCCTGCCCCGTCGGATAATTTCTCACCTTGTACCCGCCCCTATACCTATTTAAGTCGGGGACGAGTCAGGTTTGAGTTGGGGATGGTACGGGACGGGTCAAGGTCTCTGCCCTTTTTACCGCCCCATTTTCCTTTTCTTCATTATTTTTTAATGAAAAAACTCGATAAAATATTATGTAACCTTTTGTCGTGTAAGTCGTCGGTAGTGGAAGTTGAGAAGAGACGAATTGTATAAATTCTAGCGACGCTTCTCTATGAATGATGAAATTGAAAAAAAAAATGCTCAACCCTCACCGCTAAGGCTGTCCGTAGGTCTGTTCAGTTCGGTTCTGAAAAGAACTGAACCGACCTAAAAATTTCGGGTATTTAATAAATGGAACCGTCGGGTCCAAATATAATTATGGAACCGTTCGAGTTCGATTCCGTACAATAATTAATTTTTTTAATATTTACAGCAACACTACATAAATACAACTAATGATATTCATTCGTAAATTTTACAAATTAATGTAACCCAATTCAAAAATATATAAATAACTAACCGTCCAATAAGATTAATTCAATGCATACAAATACCAAAAAGTAGATATTAATATTACAGCAACACTACATAAAATAAATTCATTTGTTTCAAGCAGCCTGCATGCATAAAGAAAATGAGATATAAATTAAAAGTTATAAAAATAAAATATTTTTAAATATTGGTAATACTTAACAACTATTTGATTTAATCATCAATTGCTTGACTTGTCATGGTAAGAAATTCTACAAGCATAATTGAAAATGCACAATTAACACACACAAATAAACTAAAAATTAAAATTATGAAATAATCTGATTTATTTAATTAATTTGCTAATTTGTTTTTAAAAAATAAAATAATTTAATTAATTCAATATAAAAAATAAAAAAAATTATTTAGTTTCGGTTCTTGGTCTAGACCCGATTCAAACCTATCGATTCTCGATTTGGGTACCCGTTCGGGTATTTAACTTATGAAGAACAATTCGGTTTGGTTCGGTTCGGGTTCGGTTCGATTCGGTTTGGTTCGAGACTTTTGGACACCCCTACTCACCACCTCACGTTTATATTTTAAAATCTGGTAATGGTTCTTGCAAGAAAATTATTGGGAAAATTACCTAGAAACCTTCTTTTCAAGATTACATTTCAAAAGTAGTTAGGTGAAAGCTCAAATTTCAATAATCAGGTGGTAAATACTAATTTCTAAATTAATTAAAACAAATTAATTACACCCACTCAGCCTATCACCCCCGAACACTTATTTTAAACCCCAGACCCTGATTCACCCCCCACCCCCCACATTAATTGAATTCCCAAACCCAGAAGCCCTCTTCCTTTCTCTTTGTGTCTTCTCACCTGTCAATTTCTCGCCCTCCACTACCAAATCCCTTCTGGGTTTCCTACAAAAAGTCAAAAGCACAAGCACGGTAATCCACATCACTAGAGTCACTGGCACCGCCACAGCCAAGGCGGCCACCACAGACAGAACCCCAAACGCCACCCCCAAAACCACCGATACACTCAAAACTGTCCACCCAGATGCATTTGACCTTACCATGATCGATTCATACCATGAAAGTACATATTTTAAAAAATTCCAAGAAAGTTATAGTAAACTTGTGTAAACTGCTGCAAATAGGCAAACCCATGTTCTTCTTTTGCTCATAAGCTTTATGAGTAATATGGAGGAATGTGATTCTTCTTATGTGAATCTGTATCTTCTCTCCCTCCCTCCACCTCTCGTAGCAGCTTCGCCCCGACACAACCATCTCCGTCCCTGTGAATCCACAACAGCTTCGAACCACTTGATTTGTTTGGGAAAGCATATGTTCTTTGCAAAGCCAGATGAACTACCTGAGAAGGGTTAGCAGAGAGTTCCAGTCAGATAGGCACCTCTAGGTAGTGATTTCCATAAGCTAAATATTGATGTGGCGATAGTCTAAGGGAGAAGATGGTTTGTTTTGTGTGGTTTGTTGGTGGTTTTTTTGTAGGTAGTTTTTTTTATTGATGCACTTTGGTGGTGTTGGCGGTGATGGTGGTAAGGTTAGTTGCCTTCTCAGTAGTTTGATTGTGATCGATTGTAACCAATTTTGTGTTGATTATGACCAATTGTGACTTGAGATTAACCTAGTCACATACAGTCACACTCAACACAAATTTGGTCACAGTTAGTCACATTGAATACACACTTGGTCTCAATTAGTCACATACTGTCACACTGAACACAAATTTTCTTTTTCGGTAATTTTTAGGAGGTGGAGGCAGGGATGGGGTGGTGGTAGGTGGATCCATGGGGGGGTGGAAGTGTGATTTTCAATTTTTTATTTTCTGAAAATCTTTAAGTCATCGGAGCGACCACCGGAAAAGTTGCCAGAAGCCGTAGGAGTGATCGTCGGAGCAGTGGCCGGAGAGGCGCCGAAGTGATCATCGGAACAGTCATCGGAGAGGCACCGGAGCAGTATCGGAGAGTCCGTCGGAGTGATCGTCGGAGATGATGGCCGTCTCCGGTGGAGGGAAGGTGGTGTAGTGGGGTGATAGGATGTGGTAGGTGAGGGAATGTGGTGTAGTGGGGTGATAGGATGTGATATATGAGGTGGCATGGGTAGAAATAATTAATGTATATTATATTATATTTTAATATTTAATAAATTAATTTACCACTTGATTTTTGAATATTTTAATGATTTTGTTATTTATGAAATGTGATTTTTAAAAATAGGAGTTTTGTATTGTTCCCAAAATTATTCCATTCTAGGTAATTTTCCCATTTATGTTTATCCCTGGATTAAACGGAGCGGGTCGGGGCGGAACCTCATTACCCATCCCGTCCCATCCTCGACACAAGGCAAATTTTCCCGACTCGTCCCTTACCCAAAACCCGATTAAGAGGGTAATCCCCACCCTATTTGAGGCGTGACCCAACAAGTATCAGGTTTAACAGGTTTTTTTGTCATCCCTACTAACATTGATGTTTTTCAAGTTCAACTATTTTGTTCATTAATTTTTTTTTTCAATAATGGTTGTACTGAAATTATTATAGTTCACCTGGATGCCACATCAGTTTTGAGGGGGATCTTATCGCACTTTCACATGTTCATGATGAATAATTATGCCTCGATCGCTGAACAAAAAGCACTTTAGTCATTGAGGTTTACTCGAGCAAAGGAGTCGATGACTAACCCTTAACCAAAAATATAATTAGAAGCCTCAGCCATATATACAATTAGAGGCGCTATATAGCCTCGGACATGGAGTGGTATTCTCAATGGGGTAATTATCACATAACGTTCCCACATTTCACTATTATTGTTGGAAATTTTCATATATTTCATTTTTTTGGCATTTTTATCCTTTCATTGAGCAAAATATCATTGTTATCCATTTTCTCAATTAAAAATTGTGAAATGACGAAAATACTCTTCCCTTTAAATAAAACAAAAGGAAAAAGAAAAAAATTAATTGCAAACATAGTCCCAACTTTTTGAAAAGCGCAAATGAGTTCCAAATAAATCATTAAAAGGGTAATTAATACATAATGTCCCTACATTTCACTATTATTGCAAAAAAATCCATACCTTTTAATTTTTTGACATTTTCTCCCTTAATTATAATTTGATAGCACAATTCATCATTTCTATTCATTTTCATTCAATTTCTCAATAAAAAACATTGGGATTATGAATATACCCTCCCGTTTAAATAAAAAAAACTAAAGAATTAATTGCAATCATAGTCCCAATTTTTTTAAAAAAATTGCAAACGAGTCCCCAATAAATTATTAAAAAATTAATTTTTTTATGAAAAGTGCAAACGAGTCACAATTGAATTTATTTAAAAATTTTAAAAAATTAAAAAGTGCAAACAAGTCCCAAATAAATTATTAAAGAATTAGAAATTTAAAAAAAATATTTTTTTATTTAAATATGAGGGTATATTCATTATTTTACAGTTCTTTGTTGAGAAATTGAATGAAAATGGATGAAAATGATGATTTGCACAATCAAATGTGTAATTAATGGTGAAAATGCCAAAAAATGAAAGGTATGGACGTTTTTTGCAATAAAGGTGAAAGATAGGGATATTATATACTAATTACCTTTTTAATAATTTATTTGAGACTCATTTGTGCTTTTCAAAAAATTGGGACTATGATTGAAATTAATTTTTTTTCTTTTGTTTTATTTAAAGGAAATTGTATTTTCGTCATTTCACAATTTTTAATTGAGAAAATATATGAAAATGACCTTTTGCGCAATAAAAGGTGAAAATAAGGTCGAAAATGCCAAAAAATGAAAGGTATGGACGTTTTCCACAATAACAATGAAAGATGTGGACGTTACGTGCTAATTACACTTCTGAATGTGAATTGTCAACTTCAAAAGTAGTGCACCAAGCCATGGTTTATTGAATGAAAATTATAGGATTCTTGTCGGTCCAATTCTTATATTGTTCCTTTAGTTGATAGAACAACTATTTCAATTATTTCTCACAATCGATACACGAATCAGCAAGTCTTAATAGTCAATTTTCATTATTCTACGTGAATCAATGAATTTTGATCGTGTTCTTTATTTTATTTTATGCTTTAGCTTGTTGCCATTTTATTATCACTATGATTTGAAGTATAAAAGACATAAAGTTAGACAAAGGCTCACAATATATTAAAGAAAGAACTAAAAAGCAATGGCTAAAAAACTGAAGGCTCGTTTATAAAAACTATAAACCAAACCTACAGCATGCAAACTAATGTTTCAAAACAACACAAACAATAAAATCAAGAAAATAAAATGAGTATCTCGCATATTCAAGCCGGAGAGAAGATGAAGCTATTCGGATTTCTTGGAAGATATATTTCTTTTCATCCGACTGAAAGGTCCAACCGTCCGGTCCATTATGTACATGTAGATGACCTGACTCCAAGATTTATACGAATCTAAATTATCATAAAACTCCGGTGCAATCTCCCTCACCTTTCGAAGCTTGGTCCCGGCAATCCTAGGGAAATCGTGGTGCTCGTTGTGGTATCCTACGCTCCATGTCATAAGATTCAAGGGACCGTAATAAGAATATGTTTCTTGATCCGGCTTGAATACGTAATGTTCGGAGATGAAGTGACCGGCCATGGGGTGCATCCCTCCTCCGACGAAGGTGGACAGTATCAAATAACCAAATGACTTCCATCCCCAAAAATGTACTATAACAGCATCAAGGGCGAGCTGGATAATTAAATTAACAAACTCCCATATTCCCGGTGGTTTTGGTTTGATAAAAATTGGTCGGAGAGCATAAAAGAAGAGTTGCAGAATAACCCATATTGATTTAGAAACGATATTCTTCACCAGATGGGCTTCAGTGAGAGTTGGGATATCCATATCAACTCCGTCCACCCCTTGAAAGCGATGGTGCTCAAGATGATACTTTTGGAAAGTTACAGACATGGGTACACCGATGGGAAGGTTAGCAAAAATCCCGAGCCAACGGTTGTAAACTGGCTTTGAGAAGGCTAGATTGTGGCTTAGCTCGTGAATGGCTAAGAAGAGATTGTGGTTGAGGAAAGATCCAAAAAAATAAGCTACTATCAATATCTTCAGCCAACCTGCATTATGGAGATAGGTTGCGGTCCATAGCTGAAGAACAACCACCATAGCAATCTGAAATAAAAGAATTTAAAATGAAGTTATGCACAGCTCGAAATTCAAATGTAGTTTTGACTTTGTTAAGATTTTTTTGTGACTGAACTTAGAAGTTAGTCTAACATTACAATGTAGATCAGAATACAACAATTTCCTAATCCCATTATATCAAAGATTGTAAAATGTGTAACCATTCAAACAAAATAACGAAAAAAGGTCATAAGCAACTGAGTGATTTTTCCCTATTCTTCAAACAGAAAAATAGAATCACTAATTTCATCTTTTGGGCTTTCAATGATGAGTCTAGATGATCATTGGTACCACATTGTCCAATGTCTAAAAATGAATTCAAATTTCATTGGACAACTTGGCAGCGACCTTACTGCCACACACATGATCATCTAGACTCTAGATGAGTAGCATTAGTCGTCAATAATTTCTTAGCTACTACACTGAGGTCAGTAATCTGGATGATTACAAAGGTGAATCTGATGAAAAAGGTAAAGAGGAGAATTTCTATCGCACCTCAATAAGATAAATGCAAGCTTCATCCAATTGATATTCTAACAGCAGAGTTGAATCACAAAGCTTATTTAAGATTTCAATAGGTAAATTGTTTCTTTTTTCTTTTATTTATCTAATTTTCAAAGCAGAGCATGATGAACCATTTCATCAGGTACGTTGTCCCAATATCTATAAACCCTATTGCAGAATTGAGCACACCACTTTAGGTATAACATCAGATAATGCCATCAATAAACGGTGAATACAACATTTAATATGAGATCGAATGTGATTACTGATTTTGAAATTGAACATAAGTGCATAATTCGAAAAGAAAAATCCAACACATTATCAAAAGAGTGAATCTTTCACACGACATTACGAGTTTTAGCACAGATCTGAAAAACCCACATTTGAAAATTGAAGAATGTATATAGATTCCTCCATATATACCTTGAGGAAAGCAAAGGGGTCAGGGCCAAAGAGTTGTTTGATTTGAGGATACTGAGAGAGGATCTGCCTTCTGCGAGAGGCATGGGGCTCATCTGTATATGACCAGAAAAAATCTGTAGCCATTACTCCCTCTCCTTCTTCTTCTCTCTGTTTCCCTTCAAACCCCATGCTCCCTCTCCCTCTCTTCTTTCTGTGTATTTCTTCTGTGAGAATTTGAGATGTTAACGAATCTCCTCTTCGTAAATTTAAAACAAGATTATTTTCGGGGGTGTAAGACTTGTGATGGTGCGGGATTCATTCTAGTATCAAAAACATCCAATGGACTTCGATTTTTTATGCGGATTGTGCCGGCCAGCTGGGAATAGGATCATGCCAGATATTCCTTTTGCAATTTCACGTCATTCTGTGTGCTCTCAACTCGTCCTAAACTAATGAGTTTGAAAGGATTTTTTTTCCCATTAAGAATGTGTTTGACAGAGTGTCATTTTTCCTTCAAAGTTCTTATTTTTTTGGAATATGATTGACATTTTTTTTCATAAAAAAATATATTTCAAAAATTCCTCTCTTAACCATGTCTTCCTAAAAAAATAAAGAAAATGTTTTCTTTAACGAGGATAAGTTTTTATTTTCCAAGCGAGTCTCTCTCTCATCCACAACATCTCACTCATTTTATTCCTCTCTTAACCATGTTTTCCTAAAAAAATAAAGAAAATATTTTCTTTAACGAGGATAAGTTTTTATTTTCCAAGCAAGTCTCTCTCTCATCCACAACATCTCACTCATTTATCTACAACAAATGATGGAAAATTATGGGTTATGCTCCTCGAACAGGGTCACCTCACGCCACTTGGTGCCCCCTATTGGCAAGGGATCTGAGTTAGACCCCATGCCAATAAACTTGACGCCCTTGTTCGAAAGGGGCCGAGGTGGTCCTCTTCGAGTAGCTTTATTTGAAAATTATAGAGGTGTGAAAAGGGCCGATTAGCTTGTCACATGTTTTATACAACGTAAATTATACTGCAAGTGTACGGTATCAAGTTCTGATATATATGAATGAAGTTATACTATAATTATATAGCCACTATTTTATCTAGATGATTTTTTTTAAATCAATGTTTTATCTAAACTAGGTATGATTGTGATGAATTCAACAAATAAATGCAAGTTATACGAATTAATCAATATAGGAGAGCATAGGGTATGATTTCACCCAACTATCAAATTTGATATTCAAAAACTTAGTTATCTTTATTCAATTTTCCATATTTATAAGCAAGAACCCTAATATAATTATGTTCTCTCTTTCGAGTGTCAAGAAAAAATTAATCTTATAAATTAATTTTAATATTTCTATTCCGAATTAAAATCAAGATTTATTAAGATCGTGGTTTTTAGATAGAGCAATCTTCATAAATTCTACATTTTCTCTTAAAACTCATAAAATTTAAATTGTGTTGTTATTATGATTTTGCCTAATTTTCCCTCTCTCGAGTACTGGAATTAACCAGCATCTAATCATTTAATTAGTGGTCAATTAATTGAAAGTATTAAACCAACAACACAAATAAATGGAATTGAAAATTTTCATAAAAATAACTAAAATAAAATAAAATCATATCATATCATCATGTTTTGGCTAATCGGACCCTAAGAATTATTTAGCTCTATGAGACATGAAATCTATACAATTCATAAAGAATAACATGAAGAGAAGAAAAATAAAACTATTTTTTTTTAATGGTTGAATCAATCTTCTTCTCAATTTGCCTTTGCCTCCTTGGTTTATTGAATCGCACCCCCCCCCCCCTCTCAATTCTCCCTTTCAAAAGTGGTCTCTATGGTTGTATTTATAGTCTTCTGAAGTCTTGAATGAATTGGGGACGGATTAAGCCTTCAAAAGAATCCAACAATGAGTAAAAATCAATCATCGAACACTCCCAAATTTAATACTTTACTAATTCTCGAACAAATACAAAACAAAATTCAAAGACTAATGAAACATGCAAACAAAATTAAGCAAACAAAGCACCTAAAACAAATTTATTTAACTAGATAGTTTAGGATTGAAAACATATTGTTAGGTTTTAATTATGTAATTGTCAAATGGGGAGCTTGTTATGTTTTTAATTATGTAATTAACAATTCTGTGAACAATGGGGAGTTAATTGTAAATATTGTATAAAAAGTCAAGTAGTAATGTGCAATTATGTGAAAATATGTTTATTAGGTTTAGGGTTCGAGTATGGCAAAAGAAGAAAAATACGGCGCAAATTTTCGCTTGACTGTCGCCATGGATTTGCTCGAGCATAAAAAAATAGAACCTCCAACGCTTGACTGTTGCCCTGCCTTAGATCGAGCGACAGCCTGTCGCTGAGCTCTCGCTCGAGCGACAATGATGTCCAGAAAATTTTTATTTCGCAATTTAAAAGCTTTTTCCCTGGCCCATTACTTTTATAACCTACCCAAAAATACCAAAACACATCTGAATGTGAATTTTAAAGTTGATCGTTGAGAGAACTTCATCAGAAAGAATACCATCATATTCATACATTCAACCTTCATCGTGTGAGTTTGTTTTGGTGAGAAAAACATCAATTCCGTAATCCAAATACCAAACTGTTCTTTCCATCACATCTGTCAGAGTTGCTAAAGATCGAGGGAAGTTGACTGGAAGTTTCAGTCGTTGAAGAACGCAATGTTCTTGATGGATTCGCAGGAAATAAACGATTTCACGAAGTTTGGACTTGTTGCAGGAGAGCACAATCCAGGAGAGCTTTGAAAACTACAGCTGGGAGCGGTACAAGAGCACAGAATCCAGGATAGCTGTTGGAATTATAGTCAAGAGATCAGATAGTACATGTCATCATCTAGACTGGTAGACTGTAAGTTACAAATCGCTAATAGTGGATTATTGACTGGCAAAGTGCCCGAAGTTTTTACCCAACTGGGGTTTCTCCGTAATCATACCGAGTGCTCTTACTACTTTCATTATTGATTATATTAACTGCGATATTCAAACATATGTTAAATTGACTTATATGCTTAATCATCTAGAGATAATTAATTGGGGACATGTTGCTAATTAATTAATATTTTTAATTCTGCATAATATACCTATTCACCCCCTCTAGGTATTGTTAGGATCGAACTACGTAACTTTTACATAGTATCAAATTAATGAACTACTTTAAGGTTATGATGTAAAAGCAAAATGTTCACATATTCAATGCAAAATGGGTGTGTGTGTGTGAGTGAAGAATCAAGTGTAACGATATACATTTACAAGTTGATCCGATTCCCGACCTTAAAAGTGAAATCTATCCTTTCTTTGCTCATAGGATTTACACACTCTATTTCTCTTATTTTCTTCCCAAGGCGCATTCTAAAGTTTGTTTCCAATTTCTAATTTCTTAGACCTCTCAAATTTGGTTTAGTTTATCCGGTAATGTCAACAATTTATGCATGTGCTGATTCTCCTAACTTTTAGTGTTTTGGCAATCAAGCTCATACTAAGCAATTCAAACACTCTAATTATCTAAACCCTTAAAATTTAGTCATTATTGCATATTATGAGATCGAGTATCTAAGTTCTCTATTTCAACTTATAAGTATGAATCAACATATCCATGTACAACGCTACAATCACTTCATGTGCATATTTAAATTCATATTTGACATGAATAGGTAAAAAAAAAATTAACTAAAACATATAACTCCATTACAATATATCATGGCCTGCAAGGCTATCTAACTAACGTAAGCATGCAATTTTTTTTAACACAATAAAAAAATTTCACATAAAAATAACTAAGCAATTAGACAAATAATATTTCATCACCCAAACTTAAACTAAACATTGTTCCCAGTGTGAAATTAGAGAAAAAAAGAAGAGGACTTCCCTGAGTGAAAATATTGGTTGTCTTCATTGTTATTGGCGTTATGGTGATGCGATGATGGATTTGATGGATTCTGACTCTAGCTTCTCCCCCAAACTGAAGATTTTTTTATTAAAAATGCAAATGCATTAATAAACTACTAATGAAAATATAAATTAATATCTAAAGATAAGATATATAAATATAGAAAGCTCAGGTTACCTCTCAAGAAGCGCTTCTTTAATGTCATAGCTTGACACTATTAGACTGCCCTAAGTAGGATATTTAGGAGGCACTTCCTTCATGTTACCGAACTTGTTCCTTGGCTTTGAACTCTTCTTCAATATAGTATGACCACTAGGATTAAGAGGCTGTTTCAACTCCGGTATAGCCTTCAAAACTTTTTCAGATTTGATAATGTTGGGAGGTTTCAAAGATTTTTTAATTTAGTTTTTCTTTCTATCAGGTGGATCGGATTCTTGAGTTAAGATGAAATCCACCACTTCCTTGGTCCCCGTTGTCAATGAGATTGAATAAAATTCCGGAGATCGTCGAAGATTACGATTATATTATTATAATTGTATTAGATATAGATAGAATATTTTTATCATTAAATAATATTGTAATTGATTGCTTCCATATTTAGTTGTTATTTTAGTCCTATTTAATGAGAGAACCTCTCACAAAGAGGGCCATCGAGTCTTTTATTGAGTATATTTGATATGGTATCATAGTCGTTCTGATCCTAAACAAATTAACCATTGAATTTCGTTTCCGACGGGCGGCCTTGTGCTGGTCGCCCGATCAAATTTTTTTTGAATAAACATGATTAATTTTTGCAGTTTTACAAGTAAATACATATCTCCACCTAAACAAATTAACCTTATTCATCTCATTTTTTTGAATTAGGCTTTGATTTTTTTTCCCCTTTATATGGTGCTTAGTGAGTATAGAGAGACATGAGAGTGCAGATCATCGCGTTTTGGTTGCTCAGGTGATGAGATCAAGTTTAGGCTTTTCTGTGGGATTTCTTCCACCTGCAGCATCTGGAGTTTTGACCGGTGTTTTGGCGTTAAAGCTTTTTTTGGAACACGAATTATGTGTTCGACTAAGTTCTCCCAACAGATAGAGCTCACTGTGTATGTCGGCATACTTCGTGAATTTCTTTTGGAATTTCTTTTACAAGTCAATACATATCTACACCTAACCAAATTAACCTTATTCATCTCATTTTTTTTAATTGGGTTTTTATTTTTTTCCCCCTTTATATGGTGCTTCATGGGTATAGAGAGA